AGGGCTGGTGTAGTTCACAGCCGTTTAGATGTCCGTAGACATTTTTAATCTCTTCTGATTCCAGCACGAATGCATGCTGATTGTAGAGAAATGAGAAAATACACCAAAGTACAAAAATTGGTCATCATCCTACCACCTAGGTATTCAGTATTACTTGTTTTTATGTTTCCCTCACTTTTTTCTGTGGAACTACATATATTTCAGAATTAGGATCACACTAAGGGACAATTGAAAATGCCTACCTTCCATTATTCTTTTTTTAGTTTTTTATTTATTGAGGTCTAACTTACATAGAATAAAGTGGACAATCTTAATTGTGCAGTTTTACAAATTTTTGTATGTGAATACGCCTGTATTAGCACTATCCACATCAAAAGAGGACATTCCCAGCACCCCAGGAGGCTTCTTCATGCCCCTCCCAGTTAACACCCTCTCCCAGGGTAAATGCTATCTTGACTCTAACAGCGCGGATTCGTTTTCCCTGTGTTGGAACTTCGTATAAATGGAATCACAGAGTAAGTACTTTCTGTGTCTTTTTGTTTTTAAAACACATCTGTGAGATTCCTCCACGTTTTTAAGTGTATCAGTAGTTCATTCTTTGTCACTGAGGTATAGAGCTTCACTTATTCTTTTATTAGAAAAATTAAATTATGAAATAATTTGAATTCATTGTCATTATTTTAAAATTGCCAAGTTTATGCATTGAATAAAAATTTCCCCCTCAAATTTACCCCAATCTCATTCCCCTCCCTAGAAATAACCAGTCATCAGTTGGACGTTCATGTTTCTAGACTTTTTCTGTTCGTATAATTGTATTCATTGTTTCAAGTGGGAGTGTGCATTTGGTTGCAAATAACAGAAAACCCAGCTAACAGTGGCTTAAACCAGGGGTCAGCAAGCTTTTTCTATAGAGGACCAGATAATACATATTTTAGTCTTTGGGGGGCACACTGTCTCTCTCACAACTACTCAGCTTTGTTTTGTAGCATGAAAGCAGCCATAATCAATATGTAAATAAATGATTATCGCTGTGTTTCAATAAAACTTTATTTGCAAAAATAGGCAGCAGGCCAGATTAGGTCTATGGGCTGTAATTTGCTGACCCTTGGCTTCACAATAGGGATTTGTTTGGCTCACATGGCAAGAGATCTGGAAATAGCCTTCTAAGAAAAACCTAAGATTTTACACTTCCACCAAAAATGTTTGAGAATGCCTGACTCTCTAAAACCTTGCCAATAGTGAATATTAAGTTTTTTGTATTTTTGCCATACTCTTTGTCCTTATTCTTGTGTTTTGGATAAGCGTCTTTGCTTGATCTTCCAACTCACCAATTTTCTGTCTATCTGTATGTATTCTGCTCTTGAATGTCTTGATATTTCTGTTTTGATGATTAAGTCCTTCATTTGTGATTTCTAATTAACTCTTTCTCATAAGAGGCTCTTCTTGTTTGTTGGAGTCAATGTCCTCTCTTATCCTCTGAGAACAGTAACTGTATTTTAAATGTCTCTGCTTGCAGTGTTATGTCTCTATTTCTTTGATTGTTGGTTCTTCTGTTTGTTAAGTTGGCCCCTGTCTTTCATGGTGGTGGCTTTCCTGGAATGTTGGCTGATTTGTGAATATGTGCTCTTCTCTGTGCTGTGATCTCCTGTTTTCTTCTCTGTGGCTGCTGTTTCTTTTTACTCTGGTTTGCTGCCAGTAATTGTGGGCAGAAGGGCAGAACTTGCTACCACAAGTCTGGTGCTAATAGTTGTTTTCTGAACACGGGGTCCTTCTTTTCCTTTTGGATATGTCCTGCCTTTCTGTCCCAGACACCCGCAGTCACAGCTCCTGCAATCCAGATGGATCCAAGGGTCACCTCCCAGTATCCCCACAGTTCTCAATCAGTCTCTTGGAACTTTGACCTCAGGTCCTCTGCTCTCCCTGGAGAATGTGTTGCCTCTAGGTTTGGAGCAGCCCGAGACCACCTTCACCTTTCACAGCTGTCCTTCCCAGCTTCTGATTTGGCCTGTGTTTCTTTTCATCAATCCAGTTCTGTCTGGTGTCCATTTCTCAACATTTGTAACCTGCCAGTGGCACCCCTCCCTATTCTCCCATGCTATGATAGATTTTACATGGTGTCATTTCTGTGGACTCGGGTAGGGGTGGCTGATGTGTGTACTTGTTCTTGGTCTTCCCAACTTGATTCAGTCCAATGTGTCTTCTTGTTAGAGTTTTCACCTTCCTGATCACCTTCGTCTAGACAAGATCGTCTTTCTCTAAAAGTATACTGTCTCAGAACCACACTGAATATTCCAACTCTGAACTGCTCAGTGTAGAATATAGGGATGGAGGGTACTTCTTAAAGAACTTGGCTCAAATAACTCTGCTCTCCGCTACTTTGGTCAAGTCCCTTCACTTCCCTAAGCCTCAGCTTCCTCACCTGTCCAATGGGAATAACGATGATAAGGCCTACCTCATAGGTTAATGAGAGTGTCAGCTGAAACAGTGTGTGAAGTTAACATGGGACCTGACACACAGTAGATGCTAAAACATGTTAGTTCCCTTCTTCTCTCTGATTCTGACAGAATTTCTAACATACTCATTGTGTGTGCTGTGGTGGTGGTAGTTTTTGGCAGCCACACCACACTCTTAGCTCATACTGAGCACATTAGCTAAAAGGGCTGTCTTTGTCTCATGAACTTTTCTCAAGCCAGACTTTCCTCCCAGTGCCTCTCCTTGTAGAGGACCTTTACCTCGACCACGATGCATTTTATCAAGCTGTTCTTGATCCATCCCTAGCGTATAGAAATTGATCTGAACCCAGATTCCGTCATCCAGTTTGTTCTGTGTGCCTTTCATGTGAATGTCATCCACAGACTTAATAAACAGCCTTCAACAACCAGATGCAGCCATTGATATAATTATGGCCTAGGATAGGACCAAGGACAGAACCTCGTGGCACGCCACCCTTCAGAGGAAGAGTAATTTAGATGACTGGGCAAGATGATTAATTTGTCCAGTTCCTGTAGTAGTATGTCCTTGTAGCTTGATTATAGTAATAATATCAGCAACCATGTCTTGGGTTTTATTTACCGTGGGCAAGGCACTGAGGTAAGCATTTTTCATAATATTACCTTTGTTTCTTATAACAAGTCTGCAAGGTAAATGTTTTGCTACTTAGGACTTAAAAGAATAAACTCAATCTAACTTTAGCAGACAGGGGACTATATTACTTCATTTCAAGCCTCTAAAGAATGGGTACTTCACAGAAGTCAAGGGCAAGGTGCATCTGGGTGTCAAGATGTCAAGAATGGTGTCAAGAATGATGAACCAGTGCCTGCGCCCCTCTAGGGTCCCAGAAAATCCTCTCTCTCTGGCTCTTATCTTTACATCTGTGTGCATGTGTGTCATTCTTCTCACTTGCTGCAAACCAGCTTTCTCTGTTTCTCAGTTCACCTGGCAGAAAATAGTACCACCAGCAACTCCTGAGTTCACTTTCCCTTTTTCAAGAAAGTAGCCAGATCTCCCCTGAACATTTTAGTGCAGGTTACCGAGGATTATTGGCCCTGCTTGGGTCAGGTGCCTGCTCCAAGTCCAGCCACCTGTGGCCAGCAGTGGGGTCACACTGTCTGGACATGGCCTTCTCATGGAGTCTCATGCTGTAACCTTGTGGCCACGGGGCAGGGTGATGTTCAGAATCCACCTATGTGTTTTACAAATGAAAAGGAGGCCCAAAGTCACACAGTTAGTAAGTAGAGGAACCAGGACTTATTCCTGATCTTGTCTGATGCTGCAGCTTATGGTGTTGATGCTCTGCTCCTTATGCTGGACCACACTGTGCCCGAGTGGCTTCAGTGGTCCTGTCAGTGAGGGCTGGCCAGTGTCTTAGGCCTGAGAGCTCAAGGACCCACCTTGTGCTGTCACCATGGTCCTGTCCCAGACCAGGGCTCTGAGATCCTTGGTTGATTGGTTGGCTTTTTTCTTTGGTGACTCAGCATATGCCTGAGCCCTGGCCATCACAGAACTCACAACTTCATGGAGGGACCTGATACAGGAGAGTATAAACACAGACTTCAGAGTAAAGTAAAACCTAGTAAAGCTAGGTTCAAATTCTAGCTCTGTCATTTTTTCACTGGCGACTCTCTGTGCCTTAGTTCCCATAACCATGAAATGGAGATAATAATAACAACCACTTTATCAGTTATTGTGATGATTCAATGAGATAAACATGTAAACCACACGTGGCCAGCATAGAGGATTGATTCTATAAGTGGTAGCAGTTTATTAACTCTGGAACAATGGGGAAACTGCAGGAATCCAGAGGAGAAAGGCTTTTTCTTGCCCTAGGATAGAAAGTGGGAGGTGAATTGGCTAGGGTTTCAAGGAGGAAATGACATTGAAGCTTGAATAATGGATAAGAGGGTTAGAGTAAGGGCAAGGCAGAGAAGAACAGGGGCATATATAGGAATTTGAGAGACCATGGGTAGTTCATTGTGATAGAAGCAAAGAATATGTATTAGGAGCAGATGGGGGTTGCTGGTAATGCAAACTGGGTCCTGATGGGAAAACTTTGTTTGCTCATTCATGCATTCACTTGGCAAATATTTAGCAAGTACCTGCTGTGTGCCAGGCACTGTCCTGGTCCTCTAGATTCCACAGTGAACAGAACAAATCCACACAAATCCACACCCTCATGGAGCTTATGTCCTAGTGGTTAGAGGCAGACACTAAGCAAATAAATAAGTCAAATATAAAGGGTGTCAGAGAGAAAAATAAAGCAAAGAGGGGGTGGGAGTTCTCTTACACAGGTTCCTTGGGAAGGCCTTGCCGAGAAGGAGCAGAGGCTGAAGGAAGTGAGAAGGAAGAGAGCACTTCCGAGGAGGGCCAGCAAGGGCAGAAATCCCAAGGGTGGAGCCTGTGTGGCTGAATTAGGGGGAATGAGGGGCAGTGTGGTGGGAGGTGAGGACAGAGGGGTGATGGCCAAGCCGCGTAGGGCCTTGTGGCCATTTCTGAGGACTTGGGCTTTTGTCTGAGTGAGGCAGGAGCTGCAGGAGCTACAGGAGCGTTTCGAGCAGGAGAGGGCAGGACACGCTGTCGGGCCGTGTCTAGAGAACAGACTGTGGGCAAGGGCAGAAGCAGGAGACCAGTTGGGGCGATCGCGCAGTCCCCGCGATGATGGTGGCTTGGATTGTGGGGTGGCAGTAGAAGTACAGAGACGGCGCCGGATTCTGAGCATCATGAAGGGAGAGCCAACTGGATTTGTCATTGGATTGGATATGGGCAGGAGAGAAGAGAGGAATCAAGAAGGACTCTAAGTTTTGGTTTGAGCAACCAGAAAGAGAGATTGGTCATCTCCTGAGGTGAGAAAGAGGGTGGGAGTAGGTTTTAGGGGGAAGATCAGGAATTCACCTTAAAACCTGTTAAGACCATGAGCAGGCACCTGGATATGGGAACCTGGTATTTAAGGGGAAAGCCATCAAGCTGCGTCTGTCTGGAATGTGGAACCATTGATTCTTTGCCTTTTTTGAGAAGGGAAGTAGGGTGGGTAGAGGTCATTAGTTATATAAGTAATACATGAAAATAGCTTCCTTAAGAAAATTCTTTTTAACTTTCTAGACAAGGCTAAAATCTTTTTTGCCAATTCCTACCTCTCCCTAACCCCAGTCTTCCCCTCCTGGAGTGACTGTTGTCGTGAGCTGGGCATGCATCCTTCCAGACCTTTCTCTGCATTTATATACCAGGCTGTACCCATAAAACATATGTGGTGTTTTTTTGTCTTTATGTATTTTCAGGTAAATGGTGTCCTAATGGATATGTCGTTCTGCAGCTTGCTTTTGTAACTTGTAACTTGCCTATCCTGCTTGAACTATAATATCTTGGAGAGCCATCCTTGGTGTTACAAATAAACCTAGTTCTCTATTTAAAAAACTTGTTACAATATGGTATGGACTCTGCCAGTTATTTAGCTGTTTTCCAGCTGGAGGGCATTAGCATTTTGTACATTCCTCCTCGGGCACCTGTGTGAGTCTTTCTGGGAGATTCCAAGGAGTGAAATGGCTGGGTGTGAGTAGATTGAAGTTATGTGGGGTCTTGTTTTACCTTGTTTTAGTGGATACTGCCACATTGCTCCCCAAAATGCCTCTGTCACCTTGCTCACCATCTGTTGCAGGTTTTTAATGAGGCAAGCTGGGAGATCTGTGTCTGTGGAGCAAAGCACAGTGGTGGGCTGTGGGTTGGAAGAGACCATGGAGTTTGGAGGTTGCTGTTCTACTCTTCTGAACTTACCTTCAGAGAGGACACAGGCTTCTTTAAGGGCCAGAAGAGACCCTCCCAATCCCTTCCCTTCCTCCTGAAAATAGAGCAGCACAAACGGATGCCGTCTCTCCACAGCCTGCACACCTGGCTTCTTCCCTGTCAACCAGCTTCTGTTCCTAGGCTTCCTCACCAGCTTGAAGTCATCCCCTTTTGACGAACACCAGTTGAGACATTATGAAAATTCTATTTTTTTAGAGCAAACTAACTCCTCTGTCATTGGGCCCTTATTCTGCCACCAGCCTGATAGCATTCTTTGCCTGCCACCCGCGACAGCGCCTTCAAGGGTTGGTGCACAACCGAGATTGTGATTGTCACTAGCCTGGCGCCTGTTCTGGGGGTGCGATAGCAGCCCCTCTCTGGAGGCAGACCAAATCCTACACCCAGCTGCTCTCCCAGAAACAGTTCAGCTGAGCTGCTGCCTACACGGAGAAAGGAAAGTGGCAGTCTCAAAAAAGTTGTGTCAGGTCTTCTTTGCGTGAATTTCAAGTCGTGTTAACTTTATGGTATAAAATGCCTTCAAGATTAACTCAGGGAGCTGGGTCTAGGATCAACTATGAGTTCAGATTTTGTGTCATCATAATTAGAAACTTCTAAATGTTTCTAATCAATGGCATCCTAGTTACTCACATTTATTGAGCATGCATTATACGCCAGGCAGTATTCTGAGCATTTTATGTTGATATGGTGGATACTTTTTTTTTAACTTTTTAATGAGATTATGATAGTTTACAACCTTGTGAAATTTCAGTTGTACATTATTGTTTGTCAGTCGTGTTGTAGGTGCACCACTTCACCCTTTGTGCCCATCCCCCACCCTCCCTTTCCCCTGGTAACCACTAATCTGTTTTCTTTGTCTACATGTTTAACTTCCACATGAGTGTCTTTCTCTATCTGGCCTGTTTCACTCAACATGATACCCTCAAGGTCCATCTGTGTTGTTGTGAATGGGATGATTTTATCCGTTTTTGTGGCTGAGTAGTATTCCACTGTGTATATACACCAAATCTTCTTTATCCAATCATCAGTTGCTGGGCACTTAGGTTGCTTCCACCTCTTGGCTATTGTAAATAATGCTGCAGTGAACATAGGTGTGTATGGGACTTTTGGAATTGCTGATTTCAAGTTCTTTGGATAGATACCCAGTAGTGGGATGGCTCGGTCATATGGTATTTCTATTTTTAATTTTTTGAGAGATCTCCATACTGTTTTCCATAGTGGCTGCACCAGTTTGAATTCCCACCAGCAGTGTATGAAGATTCCTTTTTCTCCACAACCTCTCCATCATTTGCGGCTTTTTGTTTGGGTTATTTTTGCCATTCTAACAGATGTAAGGTGATATCTTAGTGTAGTTTTGATTTGCATTTCCCCGATGATCAGTGATGATGAGCATCTTTTCATGTGCCTATTGGCCATCCGTATATCTTCTTTGGAGAAATGTCTGTTCATGTCTCTTGCCCATTTTTTGATTGGGTTGTTTGATTTTTTGTTGTTGAGCTGTGTGAGTTCTTTATATAGTATGGAGATTAACCCTTTGTCAGATATATGACTTGCAAATATTTTTTCCTATTTGGTGGGTTGTTTTTTTATTTCAATCCTGTTTTCCCTTGCCTTGAAGAAGCTCTTTAGTCTGATGAAGTCCCATTTGTTTATTCTTTCTATTATTTCGCTTGTCTGAGAAGACACGGTGTCTGAAAAGATCTTTTTGATACTGATGTCAAAGAGTGTACTGCCTATATTTTCTTCTAGAAGCCTTATGGTTTCAGGTCTTACCTTTAGTTCTTTGATGCATTTTGAGTTTATTTTTGTAAATGGTGTAAAAGAATGGTCAATTTTCATTCTTTTACATGTGGCTGTCCAGTTTTCCCAGCACCATTTGTTGAAGAGACTTTCTTTCCTCCATTGTAGGCCCTCAGCTCCTTTGTTGAAGATTAGCTGTCCATAGATGTGTGGTTTTATTTCTGGGCTTTCAATTCTGTTCCATTGATCTGTGCATCTGTTTTTGTACCAGTACCATGCTGTTTTGATTACTGTAGCTTTGTAGTATGTTTTGAAGTCAGGGATTGTGATGCCTCCATCTTGGTTCTTTTTTCTCAGGATTGCTTTAGAAATTTGGGGTCTTTTGTTGCCCCATATGAATTTTAGGATTCTTTGTTCTATTTCTGTAAAGAATGTCATTGGGATTCTGATTGGGATTGTGTTCAATCTAGATTATTTTAGGTAGTATGGACATTTTAACTATGTTTATTCTGCCAACCCATGTGCATGGAATGTCCTTCCATCTCTTGATGTCGTCATCAATTTTCTGTCAGGAAAGTCTTGTAGTTTTCATTGTATAGGTCTTTTACTTCCTTGGTTAAATTTACCCCAAGGTATTTCATTCTTTTTGTTGCGTTTTTGAGTTCTTTTTCTGTTAGTTTGTTATTAGAGTATAGAAATGCTACTGATTTATGTAGGTTGATTTTATACCCTGCAACTTTGCTGTAGTTGTTGATTATTTCTAATAGTTTTCCAATGGATTCTTTGGGGTTTTCTATATGTAAGATCATGTCATCTGCAAACAGTGAGAGTTTCACTTCTTCTCTCCTTATTTGGATTCCTTTTATTCCTTTCTCTTGCCTAATTGCTCTGGCCAAAATCTCCAGTACTATGTTGAATAAGAGTGGTGATAGAGGGCATCCTTGTCTTGTTCCTGTTCTCAGGGGAATGGCGCTCAGTTTTTGCCCATTGAGTATGATGCTGGCCGTGGGTTTGTCATATATGGCCTTTATTATGTTGAGGTAATTTCCTTCTATCCCCATTTTGTTAAGAGTTTTTATCATCAATGGCTGTTGGATCTTGTCAAATGCTTTCTCTGCATCTATTGAGATGATCATGTGGTTTTTATTCCTCAGTTTGTTGATGTGGTGTATCATGTTGATTGATTTGCAGATGTTGAACCATCCCTGTGTCCCTGGTGTGAATCCCACTTGACCATGATGTATGATCCTTTTGATGTGTTGCTGAATTTGGGTTGCCAATATTTTGCTGAGAATTTTTGCATTTATGTTCATCAGTGATATTGGCCTGTAGTTCTCCTTTTTCATGCTGTCCTTGTCAGGCTTTGGTATCAGCGTGATGTTGGCCTCGTAGGATGTGTTAGGAAGTGTTCCATCCTGCCTAATTTTTTGGAAGAGCTTGAAAAGGATAGGTATTAAATCCTCTCTGAAAGTTTGGTAGAATTCCCCAGGAAAGCTGTCTGGTCCTGAGGTTTTATTCTTTGGGATGATTTTGATTGTTGTTTCAATCTCTTTCCTTGTGATTGGTCTGTTCAGGTTGTCTGTTTCTTCTTGACTCAGCTTTGGGAGGTTGTAAGAGTCTAAGAATTTATCCGTTTCCTCCAGGTTATCCATTTTGTTGGCATATAGTTGTTGTTTTTTTTTTTAAATAATGCAAATCTCCATCTGCTTTTATTTATTTATTTATTTTTTAAGATTTTATTTTTTTCCTTTTTCTCCCCAAAGCCCCCCAGTACGTAGTTGTATATTCTTCATTGTGGGTCCTTCTAGTTGTGGCATGTGGGACGCTGCCTCAGCGTGGTCTGATGAGCAGTGCCATGTCCGCGCCCAGGATTCGAACCAGCGAAACACTGGTCTGCCTGCAGCGGAGTGCGCGAACTTAACCTCTCGGGCACGGGGCCAGCCCCTGGCATATAGTTTTTTGTAGTATTCTCTTATAATCCGTTGTATTTCTGTGGAGTCTGTTGTTATTTCTCCTCTTTCATTTCTGATTTTGTTTATTTGAGCTTTCTCTCTTTTTTCTTTGTAGGTCTGGCTAGGGATTTGTCAATTTTATTTATCTTCTCAAAAACCAGTTCTTTGTTTCATTGATCCTTTCTACTGCCTTTTTTGTTTCAATAGATTTATTTCTGCTCATATGTTTATTATTTCTCTCCTGCTGACTTTGGGCTTTGTTTGTTCTTTTTCTAATTCAGTTAGGTGTAATTTGAGATTGCTTATTTGGGATTTTTATTGTTTGTTAAGATGTGCCTGTATTGCGATGAATTTCC